CTAAATCTTGGCTTAGTTAAAAAAGAGAAGAAAAATAACAAAGAAACAGGACATGCTCCTTATGAGTCATAATATATTATTTGCAATATAAAATCCTGTCTTCATATTTGACATTTTCTGTGAATACCTACTTTCCTTCCATATGTTTTGTGTGCCTTACTGCTATTGTTGGATTATAAACACTCAAAAGCAGGGACCTTGCTTCATATATCTATAAGAGTTTCTCTCACTCTCTTCCAAACATTTTGTAGAATGCTCTGTTCAAGGAAGGGACCTAGAAAAATGATAATAATAGTGGTAATAATATTCAACTTATAGTCCAAGATCTTTTCAGTTGCATATATACAATCTCAATTAGTTTCATGATAAAATTATGACCTAAGTTCATTTATCCCCATTATAAAAATAAGAAAATGCAAACACTTAGGTGAAGCAACTTACTCAATATCATAGAACTAGGGAATGATGGAGATAGGTTTCAAATCAAAACTGACTTACCCAGAATATGCATTCTTAACCACTTCATAAGAGAATCTGCTAACCAACTCATTTTACTTAGCAAATAATAATCAAGCACTTAATAGTTGTCAAGGATTGTCATAAACAGAAATACAGGACTATTATGATTTGGATGTGAGGTGTCCCCCAAAAGCTCATGCTTTCAGTTATCGAGACAATGCAAGAAGGTTCAGAGAAGAAATGATTGGGTTGTGAGAGTCTTAACCCAATCAGTGGATTAATCCTCTGATAGGGATTAACTGAGTGGTAATTGAAGTGATGGGGTGTGGATTTAAGTGTATATTTGTATCTGGCAAGTGGAGACCTCTCTCTCAGCTTCCTGATCACCATGTGAGCTGGTTCCTTATGCCACACTCTGCTACCATGATGTTCTGCCTCACCTTGAGCCCAGAGGAATGGAGCCAGCCTTCAATGGACTAGGACTTCTGAAACCTTGAGTCCTCAATGAAACTCTTCTTCCCTAAAATTGTTCTGGTTAGATCTTTTAGTCACAGCAGTGAAAAGGCTGACTAAAACAAAGACTCATCGGATAAACAATAAGCAGATATGTAAACATAAAACTATAATCAATCAGGATTAGTGCTATAAAAGAAGTCTGATGAAAACACTCTGAGAACACTAAAAAGTCTTAAGTCCATCAGGGCCCGGGGAGAGTGATCAAGGAAGGTGCTAGAGAGGAAATATTAAAATTAAGTCTAAAAGGTTTTTTTTTTTTGCAAAGTAGACTTTTAACAGGGAATTTCTTTGTATCCTTAACATTTAGCAAAATAGCAAGTGTACGGTAATTTCTCAAGAAATTTTTATTCTTGCTATTAATAAGGATAACATGAAATCTTAAATTTGAGAAATATCCCACTTACTCATCTACCATAGTCCTTAAAATATCTGGATTGATATTTTAAGTCATCTTGGGCTGCTATAATGTAATAAGAGACTGGGTGTCTTAAACAACAGAAATTTATTTTCTTATAGTTCTGGAGGCTGAAGTCCAAGGTCCAGGTGCCAGAATGGTCAGTTCCTAGTGAGGGCTATTCACCTGACTTATAAGTGGCCTTCCTCTGGCTGTGGCCCTCAAAAGACAGAGCAGTGGAGAGTTGTCTGGTTCCTCACATATGGACCATCATAAGGACTCCGTCCTTATGACCTCATCCCAAAGGACTCATCTACAAATACCATCACAGTGAGGATTAGGGTTTCTACATATAAAATTTGAAGGAACATGATTCAGTCCATAGAAGTTACTTGAGAAACAGAAACTAAGATTCAGATGTTCCCTGCTTTTTCCAGCCTGTTTCTGGTAATATTTCAGGATCCGAGAGTCTCTGAAATGAAAGCAGTTCACTTTCCCAGAGGAGTTAGATAAATGTTCAACAAAGATTTATTTTCAATTTACATGCATGTTTCCCCTGTCCTTTAGCCCTTGATAGTTAAAGCTTCTGATTCATATCCACACTGAAGTTACTGAAATTGTTCAATAGATATTAGTTGAACTCCTACTATATGTTACACACCAGAAATACCAGAGTAAACAAGAAAAAGTTCTGGCCTCAAATCACTTAGAGTCTAGCAGCTGGAGTTGTGTTACTATACTAACACTGGAAGGATGAATAGAGAAAGAATAGGGTAGAAAATATACCATGCTCCTTTTTCATGGGACCCAACAAAATAATCTGAATTACAGAAGCATCTGAACCTATCACATTTGGCTGGCTTCTGAATATCTGACTATCTTGGCGTCCAATTTTTCCTCTACTGGCTCTTTCAACATGGAGAAGTCTATTTACATAAATAGCCCAATATATATCAGCAAATAGCTCCTTTGCATGGTCAAACACATTACCAAATTAAATAAGATTACCATGTTGGATTTCAGGTGTTCATGTAAATTGTTATTCTTAATAACTTAAGATATATATTTTATATATATATATATATATATATATATATATATATATATATAATTATAATGCTATTATATAATCTTTTTGTCTAGTAGCCTAAAGGTCCTTGGTAATATGTAAGATGCTCAGGAATGCATCACAATAATCCTAACTCGATTTCATTTTCTGCTGTGTGCTTCTGAGCAGAATATATTTGAATCACTAAATTAAATCATTTGATTAGAATAACTTAATCTTTAGGAGTTATTTTCTTATAAGAAGGTTGGATTATATAATTTCTAGGATCTCAACTTGAAATTATTTGCTATTTTTATGAGTCAACTTCCAGGATGACATTGAATGAGTTGTTGGTAAAATAGAAAATCCAGTATCTTAAAAATATTTCATATGTTAGAAACTATTACACATAGATTAAGTTACTCTTTTTAAAGACATAAATGGATTACAATCATGTTAGTTCTGATAATGCAGGCTGCTGTAACAAACTCACTCAAATTTTATTTTTCATACCATTGGAATTGTAATAGATCAATGGTAAAAAGATATGGTCAAACAATCTACAGAGAAAGGAGATAAAATTAGCAAATATGTATAGGAGAAAATAATACTATCATAAATTAAATTGAGATAAAAATAAAATATCATTTTGGATCTACTAAAACACCAAACATTTTAAATCATGGTAATATTCATGTGCTGACCAGAGTCTAACAAAACTGGTAGCCTTGAGATTTGGTACAACTATTTTGGAAAGTAACCCATCAGTATTTTAAAGTCATAACAATGTTTATAGCCCTTAATATAATGATCCCACTCTTGAGGATTTATCCTCAGTGAATAACCCAAAAGAAAAAAAATCATGCAAATAAGTGTACATTACAGTACAGCTGAAAAAAAAAATTAAAAAACTAGAAAGATCTAAATAATTTAATGGTTAAGAATGGTGAAAGAACAAATGGTTAAGAAATTGTTAAATCGCAACGTAAGGTTATGCAGCCATAAAAAAGAATGAAATCCTGTGATTTGCAGCAACATAGATGTTCCTGGAGGCCATTATAACTGAAATAGGTCAGGTACAGAAAGACAGATACCACACATTCTCATTTATATTAGGAAGCTAAAATGTTGATCTCAAAGAAGTAGAGAGTAAAATTGTGGTTACCAAAGCCTGTGAAGGGTGTGTGAGGGGTGGGGGGGGGGTGAATAATAGATGGTTAATGGTTACAGAAATGCAGTTGGACAAGAGGAATAACTTTTAATGTTCTGTAGCACAGTAGGATAGCTTTGGTTGACAACAAGTAATTGAATGTTTCAAAATAGTGAGTAGAGAGGATTTTGAATGTTTCCAACACACACAAAAAATGTCTGAGGTGTAATATATGACAATTAGCCCAATCATTTCAAACTGTATATATATACTAAAATGTGACAATGTAATATGTATATATATATATATATATACACATATATATGTATATATATATACACACATATATGTGTGTGTGTATATATATATATATATATATATATACACATATATATGTATATATATATACACACATATATGTGTGTGTGTATATATATATATATATATATATATATATGAAACATTATTACTATGGATCAGTTAAAATGAAAATAATTTTTGAAAAGCAGAACAAAATGGTACAATTGCAACTAAAATGATAATTATGAGGCCATGGACCCACAGTCGTCCATGAGCATAAAATAATACATAGTGAGAGCTGGTCCTGGTAGTGTACACCTGTAGTCCTAGTCACTCAGGAGGCTGAGGCAGGAATATCACTTGAGCCCAAGTTTTTCAGGCCAGCCTGGGCAAATAGTGAGATTTTTATCTTAAAAAATGGGCATAAAAACATATCCAGAATCATATATGATTTATATTTTTAAAGTTGACACTGATTTCCTAGAGGGAGTAGAACTAGGGATTATGGGAATTATGGGGAAAAGACTTTATTTTGCAAAAATTATACTCTTTTCTACTATTTAAATCTTCTACCATGTACCCAGATCATAAAAAAAAAAACAACTGTCTGTGCCATGATAGTAATTACCTATAAATTATATGAGCTTATGGATATGTGTTAGAAGGGAAGATGGAAAAATAAAAACAGTTGATTTGTTCTAGTGGTAGATATTATGTGTAGTTTTCCTGTTACCTTGATTTTTCTTATTATTATAATGTTTGCATAATTTAAGAATGTGAAAATAAAAGAACAGCTGCCTTAAATACTTTTTGGAAATAAATAAAGCATAAATAATACATTAATGCATGAAGGAGTAGGAAAGTATTGAATCAAGAAAAATACTCATCAAATATTTATGAGAACTCACATTTGTATGTATAAATACAATTACAACAAAACAGCCTTGACAAGAAACAGCAGATACAGATCAAGGCTAGGCCCTTAGCAAGTCAATCACAGAATTTGTCCTGGAAGAAATGGGCTGTGATTACTTATTAAAAGAAGGATAAAGGATGTGATTGAATGGGAGAGATAATTTTTAAATTTTGACCACTTGAGAAAATAAATAATCTTTCACCATCCTCCTTTTTAGGAGATGATAAAGTCCTCCGGTTGTGGCACCCCAATATCAGCACCAAGCCCGTGGGGAAACTGGTGGGACACATGTTCAGCATCACCGAGATGGTAACCAATGAGAAAGAGCAACACCTCATCAGCCTTTCTTCTGCAAAGGTAACAAGAAGAAAATAGCAAAATCAAAATGAAATCTGTTTTTTTTTCTTTCTTTCCTGAAATCACCTCTTCGAAGACCTAGGGTGCATATGATATTTGAATGAAATAATGGATAATCACTGAGAAAAATATTGTTAGTATGAAAATAGAATTAATGAGCTTCTATGTTATTTCTGTTGATTGTAGCCTAAGAAAGGGCAGGTTTAAAACAAGTGTAAAAGGAGACAATATTGGGAAGCCAATGTTATCCTCAGTAGACAAAACAAAAGAGACTGTCATTAAAGAAGGGAACATCACCACTAAAGAAAGAAAAAAATAAATAAATGTTTCTGTCACTGTCATCATGAAACTATTTTAAATGTTCTAGCCAATGTAACACAAGGAAAAATGAGGTATAAAGATTAGGTTGAGAATATCCAATTACTATATTTGTAAATGATGTGATTGCTTGAAAAAGAGTAAAATCAACTTAAAATTTTTAAAAATGAAAAGCTCAATAAGTTGTCTTGTTATAATAGCAATTTATAAAAAAGATAAATTTCTATATAAGACCAATAACTAGTTATGAAGAAATGGTCGAAGAAACAGTATTCTTAATTACATAAAGTATGACATATTTTGGAATAATGTTAATAGGAAATATTCATGATTAATAATAAGATAACTATAAAGTTTTACTGATGTATTTAAGAACATGAATGTTTCTACATGGAAATATTATACTGTAAAAGAGCGTCTTCATCAAATTAATCTATGTACTTGATATTATTTGGTATTAGTTAATATATTAATATACAAGAATATCCTAGAAACCTTGAAAGATATAACTATAAGGTGACACTTCTCAATTGGATATAAAAACATAAAGTCACAATGAATAAAACAGCAGTAGGTAGACAATGCAGGAATTATTAATTTCATTTCATGTATGAAAGAAAACAGAGATTTCAGGAATTAGTAAATATGGGTGTGGGAATTTGTATATGATAAAGATAGCATTTCAAATATATGAGCGATGAATGATTTATTCAATAAATGTTGGGTAAACTGATTAACTGTATAGCAAAAAAAATGTAATCAGGTCCTCACTTCATAATAATGCAGCAAAATACATTCTATATGGGTTATGGATAAAACTAAAGATGTTCTAGAATTTTCCAGAAAATATAGGTGAATATTCATATAGTTTGGGGGTAATTTCTAAGCATAGCATCTATAGCTGATGGGAAAATAAATTTAACTACATTAGCATCCAAGTTTTCTATAAATTATGATAATAGCTATTATTTATAAAATAACAAATTCCATGTACTGTGCTAAGTATTTTGTAAGCCCAACTCATTTAATGCTAATAGTGACCTTAGAGGACAAGGGACTAATCCCTTGAGACCCTTAGAGGACTAGGCTTGCTTAGCCATGTAAGAGGCCCTGGGCTCAATCCCTAGCACCTATGTGCAAATAAGTGCACATACACACAGAAACTATATGAAATGATTCTATCAGTTTTACACAGGTGAAAGAAAATGAGACCTAAATAACTTGTACAAGGTCACATGGCTACATAGTAGCTAAGTGTAGCCAACCTGGCAGCAGCTTCTTCCTCAGACTGTCTTTCTACCTTCATAAACAAAGTTAAAGGCAAGCAGCAGAGAAGACAAAAGTGCAATTTAAAGGAAACATACTGGAATAATACCCATAAACAAAACAAAACCTTGATAAGTAGGAATTAAAAGGAGGAAACAGGAGTGGAAGGAAAGGCTTAAAAACAGACTGGCATGTTCACATAGTGCTGGGTTGGAGTAAAAAAGAACATTGAAAAGGGCAAAAGTAGGGCAAGTACAATATCCTAACCTACTTCTCATGTATTTCTTAATATTTCATGTTTAAAATAAAACTTATTACACCTTGTGACATGTTGCTCAATGTATATAGAGAAAATAGACAACTATATTTTAAAAATAGGATGATTAAATGGACCCAAATGAAAATAAGGGTTCTGCACTTCATTCAAAGTGGTAAAAACACAGTCATCTAAACCGTGCATGACCCTATAAATGAAGTAATGCAGAGATTATAGTAGTGCCCCCTATCTTCAGGAATACAGTTCAAGGCTCCCAATGGATGCCTGCTCCATTGTATATACAAAAGACTGTACTCTGTCCTTTTTGTTGCTTTTTTTTTCCTATAAGTAAACACCTAAGATAAAAAAATTAATTTATAAATCTGGCACAGTAAGAGAAATAACAATAATAATACAATAGAACAATTATAGCAATATACTGTAATAAAATTGCCAGCATCACTCTCTTGTGTTTTATTTATTCATTTGCAATAGTGGGAATTGAACCCAGGGATGCTTTATCATTGAGCTATATCTGCAACCCTTTGTTATGGTTTAGATGAGGTGTCTTCCAAAAAGCTCATGTGTGAGATAGTGCAAGAAAGTTTAAAGGTAAAATGATTGGGTTAGAGAACAATCAATGCATTAATCCACTTGAATGGATTAATCCACTTGAATGGATTTACACCACTTGAATGGATTGACCCACTTGAATGGATTAACACCATGCTTCCGCAGGTAGGGTGTGTCTGGAGGAGGTAGGTCACTGAGGGCATGACTTTGGGGTACATATTTTTGTTTCTGGTGAGTGGAGCTCTTTCTGCTTCCTTTCCATATCCTGAGCAGCTTTCTTCCACCATACCCTTCTGCTGTGCTGTTCTGCTTTACCTCAGGCCCAGAGCTATGGGGTTGTCCATCTGTGAACTGAGATCTCTGAAACTGTCAGCCCCAAATAAACTTTCTCTCCACTGTGTTGTTCTTGGTAGGTCTTTTGGTCACAGCGATGACAAAACTGACTGAAACAACCTTTTAAAAATATTTATTTATTTATTGGTACCAGAGATTGAACCCAAGGGTGCATAACCACTGAGCAACATCCCTAGCCCTTTGTATTTATTTATTTACTTATTTATTTTTGAGACAAGGTCTTATTAGGTTGCATACAGCCTTGCTGAGTTGCTGAGGCTTGCTTTGAAACTGTAATCCTCCTGCCTGAGTAGCTGAGATTACAGGTGTGCACCACCATGCCTGCCTATTCTCCTGTGTTTTAGAACCATTATAAGAAATAATGGTTCTAAAACATAATAATGTCAGCGTTGTGAGCATAAGCAGTGTGCTACCACTACAATGGATCTGATAACTGATATAGCTAATCAGTGACTATGCAACTGGACAAAGGGATGATTCACCATCTGGGCAGGATAGAGGATGATGGAAGATATATTTCTGGCATTTTCCATTAAATAATTTTGTTGTGTTTCATATTTTTGGACCACAGTTGACTGCAGGTAACCGAAAGGTCAGGTAACTGAAACTGGGCAGCAGTACCTCATATAAAAGGGACTACTGCCCAGGTTCATCTTTTGTATATACAAGGTGCCTATTTCAAAGATTTTACTCCACTTTGTCCCCTTCTAAAAAGAGAATTAGAGGGCTGGGGTTGTAGCTCAGTGGTAGAGTGCTTGCCTAGAACGTGTGAGACCCTGGGTTCGATCTTCAGCACCACATAAAGATAAATAAATAAAATAAAGGTATTGTATCCATCTAAACTACAAAAAAATTCAAAAAGAGAGAGAGAATTAGAACTTTCTGGAACCATCTAAAACAGAATTACAATAATAGTGGCACAACTGTTTAAATGCAATAAAACTCATAGAACCTTACACTTAAAATGGATGACTTTTACAGCATGTGGATTACACCTCAATATTGTTGAAAACAGATAATTAATGTGACATGCCAAGAAAGTAAAAATTCAAGAGAAAAAAGGCTTTGATTTATGGTATCTCCTTTTGCATAACAGAAATTCCACTTACACATTTAACATTAATGAATACTGATATGAAAATATCTAAATAATATATGAGATACAATGAAAGAGGATATAATTAATCTATTTTAAAATATATATTTGTATATTTTACATTATCAGTAAGGATTATCAGCAAGATGTTTGATGTTTTAGAGGTTATTACTATGAGACAAGGTTGTGAATGGATTACAAGTATTTTCTTTTGTTTTGGGGTTTTTTTTTTCCCCTTTTATTTTCTGTTCTCTACAGTAAATATTCATTGCTTTTGTAATAATAAAAACTGAAAATTTTTAAATGATACTGGAAAGACAGTGGAGGATTTTGAGAGTAAAACTAAAACATTATGGGAGTCTTCTCTAGAAAATTGAAAGGAAAATAAGATATCTGCTAGCAAAAATTGAGGTCATTTGTGCTCATTGTGAAGAGACAGAAGAGATAACCTTTCCAAAATCTTCTAAATGTAATGGGCACATTAAGATGATGCTCATTCACCATCCTGGCAACTCCATTCGAGCAAATTACTTAATATCTTTCCATTTGGTTTCTTCATTTATAAAACATAGGAGTGTTTAGCCTAGAGGGTTGTTATAAAGATGAAATGAGCTCATTCATTTTATTATTCGGCCAACACTTATTTCTGGGGTATCTACTCAAGCATCAGGTTCTGTTCTGGGATCTAGAGATAGAACATCCAACAAGTGGGGCGAGGGTCATGTCCCTGGAAAATTTAGATCCTAGGGGAAGAAAAACAAGAAAAATAATAATAAATGCATAAGAAAACAGTATGGTAATGTCTGTAAGAAATAGAAAAAAACACTGGGGTGAAGTGATTGAACATCACTGCTGTTTTCTTCTGTATTTATTATTTTGAAATGGGCATAAATTCACATAAAAGCAAAAGCCCGAGTGACCAGAGGACCCAACCCCATGAAAATCTGGCAAAAGAATAACTGAAGCAGAAAGGACACCCAGCAAGATACACACACGTCTTTGCTGAAGCTGTCTTTACAGCTTCAGGGGAATAATTCACAGCAGCACCGGAATAAGATCTCCATCGTCATCATTGATTACAACACAAAACAACAGATAGTCTTTTCATACCTAACATTCCTTCAGATCAATTCACAT